GGGTTGTCTGTTCATCTTGATTCTGGTTTCGTTTGTCTTGTAGAGGGGCTTCAGTTTTAAAAGAGATGTACTCAGGAACCTCAATGTACCATAAAGTTTGATTTTAGAATTGGAGTGAAGGCCAGAAATGTTTCTTGAATGTTAGGATTATGACTAATAAGTGTGTTTTTATGTACTTAACTTTTATGGTCCTTTTGGGCCATTATTTTGATAAGATGCTTAGTGAGGTCAAGGCCTTAAATGATATACTTAATGTAAATTCCAGTGAGATTCATTGTCTTGGATTCTTAAAACATGAAGACAATTGTCTTTCCAGATCTTGTCCATGATAGAAGAAGCAGCTGGAACCAGGATGTATGAATACAAAAAAATAGCTGCCCAGAAAACCATAGAAAAAAAGGAGGCGAAGCTGAAAGAAATTAAGACGGTAATTGAGTTTCTATAAAACATTTTTAGAGAAAAGAGTAATTTTGCATTTCGAGTTTCTCTGCTGTAAAGAGGGAAATTTTTTCCCCTCTTGGTTCAGTTTTCCTTAGTCTTCCATGCTACTTCTTTTAAAATTTTTTTTATGGTACTTCATATACTGAAAAATTTGATTTTCCTTTATTTTCCAGATACTTGAAGAAGAGATTACTCCAACCATTCAAAAATTAAAAGAGGTATATACTATATATGCGAGGACAGCCAGCTACAGTGTCTCTCAAAATTGGTGACGTATCCAAGGTCACCCATAGGGATGAAATGTGTACCACTTCTCAGGAATTTTTCTCTGGGATGAGATAAGGAGTTAGAATTGGTACTCCATGCTCAGCCTTCTGCTTGTGGAGGATGTGTACTTCATATCTGTTGAAGTCATAATGATTTTGGACATTGCTCTTCATAATCTCAGAAAATGATATGCCAGATTTTAATACTTTGTTGAAGAGAACTAAGTCTAGATTTTCGTAGATAATTAGAATTGAGCACTGCAACCATGACATACAACTATCTACTGGGGCTTTGGGGGAAAAAAAGGAGGAGGATTGGCAATAGATGTTAGCTCAGGGCTGATCTTCCTCACACACAAAAAAAATAAAAATAATAAAATAAAATTAAAAAAATAGATAAGCGGAACATTTCTTAAAGATACAGTGCTCTTAGTAACTGTTGTTATAGAGTGAATAACTTCTAGGATAATAGGGGCTGTCACTGCTGTTACTGCTGTCAAGGCAATTGGTAAGTGAGAAGTATTAAAACAGATGACTATGATCTTTGCAGCTTCTGACATCATAATCAGTATTTCAGTGAAAGAATGCATTTATAGCATATTGTTTTTAAAGTTAATTGTTTAGGAATATATTAAGTGCTCATTAAAATTTATACTTCTCAAAGCTGTCTTCTGAATCCATAAAGTAGTGTAGATGTTATTGAAAAAAACTGAAAAGTTGTTGTCTTGAAGGTACCCCCTTTGTATGCATGATATAGTAGAAAACACTAGATCATGAGTTTAAACCTAGGTTTCATATCTGATTTTGCCAGATTGTTTCTAAATCTGACAACATAAAGAGGTCATTTAACCACTCTGGATTGTTTCTACATCTGCCACTTAGGGATTTTAATTGTTACTTTGTCTGCCCCAGCAGGTCCTTACAGGAGTTATACAAGTTTAACAATGTGTAAGCAAATGCTGTAAATAGTTATATGAATGAATGTTTGGTGGGCATCTTGGTAATGCTACTACAAAATACATTTAATAGTATATCATTGGTGGTTGTGTAGGTTGTACTTATAGACTTCTTACTATCCTCAGTCTGTGAACCTTATGTCCACATTTCTTTGTTGATAGCAACTGCCTGATTATATATTAGGAGAAATAGCCACATAGGATTCCCTACAGATGGTGTAATGCTATCTAAAAAGTCCGAGTTCTGATGTTATTTAACATTTCCTAAAATTTGTAATCCACGATCACTTAATCTAAGACAAAATCAATTATATCATGTAATAGGAAATTTTACACATATTGTTGTAATTTGATTCTTTACAGATTTGTTCAAAAATATGAATTTTGAGTTGTACTTTATTGGTGATTTCTCTTTCAGGAAAGATCTTCCTACTTGGAGTACCAAAAAGTAATGAGGGAAATAGAACATTTGAGTCGTTTGTATATTGCTTATCAGTTTTTGCTGGCTGAAGATACCAAAGAACGCTCAGCTGAGGAGTTAAAAGAAATGCAGGATAAAATTGTAAAGCTTCACGAGGAATTGTCTGAGAATGATAAAAAAATAAAAGTACTTAGTCATGAAATAGAAGAGTTGGAAAAAAGAAAAGATAAGGTCAGACATTTATTTAAGAATAGATAATATTCTCTGTGAAAAAAATTATATAAATAACTTGAAGATTCACTGGGCATTGTCTTCCATATCGATTTGTTAATCTTAAAGTATGATAATAAAATAGCTTATAAAAAGTAAATAATTTATATGGAAATCATCTAAGAAAATGACAACATGAACATATTTTAAGTACGTTGATTGAATTGGGTGCATTTGACTATAGGAAATTGGAGGTATACTCCGATCTTTAGAAGATGCTCTTGCAGAAGCTCAGCGAGTTAATACTAAATCTCAAAGTGCCTTTGATCTCAAGAAGAAAAATCTGGCAAGTGAAGAGAACAAACGCAAAGAGCTGGAAAAAAATATGGTTGAGGTAAGCAAATAAGCTTTTAATTCTACTAGTATACATTTATCCATTCTGTTAATACTTATTGTGTGCAATGAACCAAATGTAGTTGTTTAGTCTGGGGATATAGCACTGGACAAAATGACAAAAAGGGACAAAATGCCTTGTGGGTCTTCATTCCACTGAGGGAAACAATGATAAAGAAATAAGTAAAATATATAGCATGTTATATACTGATAACTGATGTGGAGAAAAAATAAAGCAGGGGAGAGGATTAGGAGTATAGGGGAGAGGGGTGCAGTTTGGGGTTTTAGATTGGGTAGCCATTGAAGGTCTCATTGAGAGAGTGATATTTTCATTGAAGACCTGAAAGAGGTCAGAGAACCATGTAGATAAATTGGGAGGCTGTGGGGGAAAATCTTTCAGGCAGAAGAACAGCAATTGCCTGAGCGCCTAAGGTGTTGGAAAAGCAATGAGATCAGCGTGGCTGGTTAGCACTAAGTCGTGGGAGTGCAGAAAGGTAATGGAGTGTAGGATCACATGGGGTTTTGTAAGACATGTGAATGACTTTGACCTTTATTCTGAGTGACATGGGAAGCCACTGGAGTTGGTTGAGCAGAAGAGTGACATTTTTTATGTATTAATAAGACCGTTCTTGCTGTTTTGAGAATAAACCATGAAGATACAGGGAAGAAGCAGGGAATCCAGGTAGTAGGTGCTAGTCCAGGTGATAGCACTTGGATAAATGAAGTAGAAGTGGGTGTACTCAGAGAAGTTGTGGGGTTTTATGTATAGTTAAATGTATAATTAAATCCCAAGTCTTTACCATGGCCTACAAGACCCTACATAATATGACTTCTGGCTCCTTTTATCACTTGCTCACTGTGCTCCAACCATAGTTCCTTACACCCCCAAGCATATTCCTCAGAGCTTGCCAGGTATACTGTCCCCCTAGTATCAGCATCGTCACTCCTTTTATTGCATTTAGGTTTCTGCTTAAAATGTCATCACACCAAGGCCTTCCCTCATCATTGTTCTTAAAATATCACTTTCTGTCCCTTTACCTTAGTTCGTTGGCTATGTCTTCCACCCTAGAATATAGGCTCCCTGAGGAGCCTGTGTTTTTAATGTCTAGAACAATGGCTGGTACATGGTAAACGTCTAATAAGTATTTAATGAATCATGAATTAAACAAGTGGGCCAAAATTTGTGGTCACTTTCAGGTAAACAATGTAGCTAGATTTTTTTTTTTCAGTGCTGGTATCTTGCATAGTATTAGATATCTGGCAAATATAACTTAACAGGTGTTAAATATTAGTAATGCTGTTCCCAAAATTATTTAATACTTAAATTTTATGGCCCTTAATAGTTTATAAAAATATTTTCATATACATGCTCCTAATCCTAAAATTGCTACTTTTAAGCTTGATGTAGGACGGCTATTATTTCAATTTTATAGATTTGGAAACTGATTTTAGTTTCTTCAAGTGGTTTGTTTAAATTTGCAATGATGTTTTAGCTCATCATCTCCCGGATTTGCCTATAACATGTGGAATGAAAGTATTTCTACTAGGATAAGAGGCACATTTATCCTAAAAACTGAGGGAAAGTGAATTTGAAAATGGGCATCAAGTATTTAAAGTTATGATGGTTAAAATTATTTTCCTTATTACCATGCCCACTTCAAATTGCTGTGAAGTTTGATGACATAAGGGTAAATATGTATAAGAAAATGGATATTTTTCCTAAAATATAATGCTTTTCAATCTGAAACTCTTCCTAAAGGATTCTAAAACTTTAGCAGCAAAGGAAAAAGAGGTTAAAAGTATAACCGATGGGCTGAACGCCCTGCAAGAAGCCAGTAATAAAGATGCCGAAGCTTTGGCTGCTGCACAGCAGCACTTCAACGCTGTTTCCGCTGGGCTGTCCAGTAATGAAGATGGAGCAGAAGCAACTCTTGCCGGTCAAATGATGGCCTGTAAAAATGACATAAGCAAAGCTCAGACAGAAGCCAAACAGGTAAGTATAGACATGAAGCACTATGGGATTGCAGTTTGTTTTTGTGTTGTTTTGGTTTTTTTGAGAAGCTGCGTCACATTCTGCTCTGGCAATTGTTATAAAATGTTGAAAATATTTATTCTGCCACTCTATAGTACCTAGTACAACAAAATTCAAATATGTCGATTGCTAAATATTGATGATGATAGTGTAAGATGCTGTAAAATATAAAATATGTTTATAGGTTAATTGAAATTGTAAGTGCAATAAATGCTTTATTCTGTTCACACCATTGTATGGAATATTTGAGGTTAGTCGATCTGTTTTCATCTTTTGGCTGTTTTTATTGACATCATAAAGTTGAAGTCTTAGGTTTTAACAGGAAAACAAGGGCCGGCTCCGTGGCTTAGCGGTTAAGTGCGCGCGCTCTGATGCTGGCGGCCCGGGTTCGGATCCCGGGAGCGCCCTGAGGCACCACTTCTCCGTCCAACGTGAGGCCGAGTCCCACGTACAGCAACTAGAAGGATGTGAACCTATGACATACAACTATCTACTGGGGCTTTGGGGGGAAAAAACTGAATAAATAAAAAATCTTTAACAGGAAAACAAAAACGACTTCTACATGTCTATGCCCACCACACCTAGTTCTTAAAACCTGTTTCTGAAAATTTACAACATCCTCCTTAGAAGTTCTCTATCTCCCGTTTACCCCCTTTCCAGTCTTTGGTTTCCCTAGTCTGATTTCATCATTTTCAAAGGCTTATCAGTCTATTATAATGGTTTTCAAATTTGTTTAGATAATTGTGCAGCTTAAAGTCCTATGAACGAAGAGTTTTGATGGCAGAAAGAAAAAAATAGATATACACACACATACATTCCTTTATTTTTTTAATGGACTCGTCCTTAAAGATATATACTGACGTGTGTGTGTTTGCATATTAATCCTATTCCAGGTTTTCTATTATATATTTGCAACTTTTCATTCAAAGATGATGAGTATAAAAAAATTGTAAGAAATCAGTAGCATAAAAACTTAAAATCCTCTCAGTTTTCTGTTAACTTATTTTATATTGGGAAAAGTCCACCATTATTCAGTTTTAGAGGGCGGATACACCCATCTAGATCTTAGAATACTAGTTCATGGTTTTAAGGAACAGTGCTCAATTATATAAACTAGCATTAAATATCAGACTCCTAGCATTTAAATTTCTCTGTCAGTTTGCTTCCCTTTCTTATGTAATTTTATTTTTCATTGCTCAATACAACTTCTCTACGGTTAATTAGACAACGCTCTCAAATTACACACAAATACAAATATGGATACCTAGGTGGAAAGAAAGGAGACTAGAGTTGTGATTTCTAGCTTTCTATTGTGTTTTTAATTTAACCAGCTAATGACAATTATTCTTTGATAACAATTTTTGAACTCATTAATGTCGTATTTTCTAAATATTAAAAATATGGACTTAAATTGCAAATTGTTTAGTGATTTATGTTAAGTGTATATTGGTTTATACTCTGAGTAGTTTTTTAGGGAGAAAATATTGGAAAATGATTCATCTGTTGAGATATTAATCCAAGTGACCCAACAGTTCAATTTTCAAGGCTGGTGTCTCTTAAGCCAGTCTGAGTCTGTGGCTGTATAATCACTAGCACTGTCTGCCTCATACAGTCTGTTACATTTTCCTGGTACAGGCTCAGATGAAGTTGAAACATGCCCAACAAGAATTAAAGACTAAACAAGCTGAAGTTAAGAAGATGGATAGTGGCTACAGGAAGGATCAAGAGGCTTTAGAGGCTGTGAAGAAACTTAAAGGAAAACTTGAAGCTGAAATGAAAAAGCTCAATTATGAAGGTTTGCCTTTAAAGATATTAAATCATTAGCAGGTAGTGATTATTGATAGAAACCAGCTTAAATAAAGGAAATAGCAAGTAGGAAAATTTTTTTTCCCTATTAATGGGTATTGGTATAAGAAATGTTTGTAAATATAATCACAAAAATATCTAAGTATAAAACAGCCCTTTGTATTTTTGAAAACTCAGTACTGAGAATTTCCTGCTTCAGTCACTCTGAAGTGCCATTTAAAAACTCAAAAATGTCATTTGTATATTTCTACGTTAGTAGACATTCAATTCATATGTTGTTTCTTTCAAAATTTTGTTATTTTTGGAAATAATATCTACTTGACTCTCGATAGAAATTTGAGTGTTAAGCATGCTTTTTATTTAATACTTATCAGAATTTGAATTTTGCTTCTAGAAATGCTTTGGAAATAGAGGTTACTAATATTTTCCTTAAAACAGTAGAACATTTGAGTTTTTAGAACTTGGTTTCAATTTACTTATGATTTACTGTTCAGAAAACAAGGAGGAAAACCTTCTGGAAAAGCGCAGGCAGCTGTCTCGTGATATCAGTAGATTGAAAGAAACATATGAAGCTCTCCTGGCCAGATTTCCCAATCTTCGATTTGCCTACAGGTAAGAGATTTAAACCTTGAATTTTAACATAGTAATAACCAATATATATTTTTATTTAAGCTGGAAAGCAACCTAAAAATTTCATTGACATTAAGATTTTTGTATGAAAATTATAAGCTGCTTTTCCTTAATTGGTAGTTTTTCCTTAAACATTTATTGAAATGTTAAACAAGATATATTTTTATTTAAGGTGGAAAGCAATCTGAAAATTTAGTTAAGATTTTTATATGAAAATTGTTGTATGCTACTTTTCTTTAATTGGTTTTTTCCTTAAACAGTTATTGAAGTGTTTCAAATGTTGGCAGGGGACATTCTTGTGAAGTTTAATTGCTACTAATGCCACTAATCTTAAATTAAGACCAAAATGAGGGAAATTTAATCTCAGTCCCAAGTTTCTTTAAATTTATTCTATCATTAATATCTACATTAACATTTTATAATCTGTTTTACTACATAAATTTTTTCATTAAATACTTTCAGTAATATATGTATTACAAAGATTAGAACATCAAAGTTATTTTTGTTCATTGAAAACAATATATAATGAAAGATCTTTTGATTGATTTAAAAACAATAGCTGGCTAGTTAATCTGGAACATTTTTAAATTATTTAAAACTATGTGAGTCTTGGGGCTGGCCCTGTGGCATAGTGGTTAAGTGCACGCACTCCGCTGCTGATGGCCTGGGTTCGGATCCCGGGCATGCACCGATGCACTGCTTGTCAGGCCTTGCTGTGGCGGCGTCCCATATAGAGTGCCATATAGAGTGGAGGAAGATGGGCACGGATGTTAGCCCAGGGCCAATCTTCCTCAGCAAAAAGAAGAAGATGGGCATAGATGTTAGCTCAGAGCTGATCTTCCTCACCAAAAAAAAAAAAAAGAAAAAAAACACTATGTGAGTCTTTTGCTTTCAATGTAATGTGTTGTCAGAAAGAGCTCTTGACTAGTAAAGTACAACTTTTTCTATTTTATCATCTCGGGTTAATTTTTGTCAACTTTTCTATTGTAGTGATCCAGAGAAGAACTGGAATAGAAATTGTGTGAAAGGACTTGTAGCTTCTCTGATTAGCGTGAAAGATACTTCTGCAACCACAGCTTTGGAATTGGTGGCTGGGGAACGACTCTACAATGTTGTAGTAGATACAGAGGTAAATTGATTTTAAAGAAAATCTGTAATTGCTTGAAAAATCTTGTGCTGCTAGAAGAATTGGGTACTTTCTTGGTGTTTTAAGCTTCACTTTGCTTTTCTTTACAGGGTAAAACTATTCAGTTAATGACTTTTTCATTATATTTTTGATTAGATTATATTTGATTAACTGCATTCCAAAGGAAGAGTCATGCTTACTTGGGAACCCAGAGTGCATATTATCAATCTTAGACTTTTGGTTGCTCGGGCTAGTAGGCATTAGACATTTATTTGATTATGGATTCCTAAACTTGCACTCTTTCCATTTGAATGTTTTCTATCATCATCATTAATATTTTATTTTTTTATTTCAAATGCACAATGTTTTAGGTTACTGGAAAAAAGCTACTAGAAAAGGGGGAATTGAAGCGTCGATACACTATAATTCCACTCAATAAAATTTCAGCCAGATGTATTGCTCCAGAAACTCTGAAGGTCGCTCAGAATCTTGTAAGTCTTACTTATATGTTTTATCTGCATCTTTTTTTTTAATTAGAGGACATTCATTTTGGGGAACATAACCGTATCCAAAACCACAAAGTTTTATTAGGTTACCATGCTTAAAAAAGTTAAGATACAAAAACATAGAGTTGGCTTTTGTGAAATTAGATGGAAAGAGAATAGAAATGTTGGAAGACTAAAACTCCCTCTCATGTTTAAAAGTTGAATATTAGATTGTCTTTAAACCTTAAGTCATGGTGGTAATAAATATTAAATTTCTAATTTCGGAATAGTTAGAATTATAGAGCTTATAGATAAATACCAGAATTCTTGAGTTTTTTTCATGCCGGGCATACTTAAACTGCCTGTAGCAACAAGTGTTATGGAAGGTATCCATCAGTCTCATAGAGATGCTTCTCTCTTAGAGTTCTTGTAGCTTGCCTGCTGAGGTGGATCTAAACTAGTATGGCTACTAGTTTAAAAACAGATGAGTACAAGGAAATACATTTCACAGGCTACTATGGTTGTGTAATATTGGGTAAAAACTTGAAGCCAGTCATAACATTCAGCAGTGATATCAGTTTGTTATTAAGCAGGCATTCCAAGTGCATGAGTTGAAAAGATAGTTCTGTGAAATGTATAAATGCATTTGTAATTAAGATACTATATGGATATTAAGTGTACTTGCTGAAATTGAGAAGCCTTCAACGAAAATTATTTCAAAATACAGCTGTATTAATATGTATACTATCAGAAGGATGATGAGTACAGAGTAATTGAAAGATGGTATTTTTCGTTAGTACTTCCTTTACTTTGAACAGTCACCCTTGGGTCTTAGACGGCTTTGGAAGTACTTCAGCCTTAGGTCAAGTCCCAGTGTTGAAAGTAAATTGGGATTTCAATTAACAGCAAAAATACTTCCGCCCAGATCCCTTAGCTAGACCCGTTGAATGGTAGCTGCTGTTAGAGGACAATACTGAACATATGTTACTTAGAGCTGCCTTCATTGTGATTTCTGCTGCTGCTATTAAGCTCCATAAAGGTGCTTAGTTCTAAAAAGATGGGCAGAGGTAGACATTATAAACACAGGTTGAGAAGAGACAGTTGGATCAAAATAAAGGACTGAGGGATTTTTTTTTTTTTTAACTTTCAATTATTAGTTGTGTTTTGTTTCTGTAACTAGCAGGTGGCTGCCCTACCAGGGTTAATTTGAATGAAAAAGTATTCACTGTGGAACAACCAAATTACTATTAATTGAAACAAAACATTTTATGTAATTATGTTGATCCAGAAATTGCTGTACTTTAATGAAGAATGTGTGTCCAAACAGTCCATTTTGGATTTAGAAACTTGGTAGTGTCTCCTGCTTGGTAGAAATTCTCATAATGCTTAGTACTTTAGCCAAATACTTAGCTAAATATTTTACTTATCAATATATCTTTCACTGTTTAAACTTGAAATTGTTTCTTTCCAAAGCTGTTGAGTTTTCCATAGCATTTTAGAAAGTCAAAAGGAATTATAGTGCTAGGTAAGTATTACTTAAATTCCTACTGTAGCAGTTCTTACTATTTTATAAAATTTTTGAAAGGAAAGGCATTATGTATTATGACATATCTGTTTTTTTCCCACAGGTTGGCCCTAACAATGTTCATGTGGCTCTTTCCCTGGTTGAATACAAACCGGAACTTCAGAAAGCCATGGAATTTGTCTTCGGAACAACCTTTGTTTGTGACAATATGGATAATGCAAAAAAAGTGGCCTTTGATAAAAGGATAATGACTAGAACTGTAACTCTAGGAGGTGAAGTATTTGATCCTCATGGGACATTGAGTGGAGGTATGTTTTATATCATTTTGCCCTCACAGTTCTGTATGGTGAATAGGATGGGGGTTTTTTTTTTTGAACAGTAAATAGTGGGGTTGGAATAACTTAATCCAGATTGAGTCTTCTTTTGAATATCTACTATGTGACAGGTACTTAATAATACTGAGAAATGATACAATGTCACAGCTCTCAAGGAACGCATAGTCTTAGTAATTAATCCTATAGCTTTTTTAATTCATCTCAAGTAAGTCTATTTCTGTTTATTTTCTCTTGCTTTTTGCCCTATCAGGATATTCTAGTCACTAGGAAATGAAGTCTTTTTATTCAGTATATTTTTAGCTTAACTACCCACTTCTCCTTCAGGAAACATGTTAACTTCTCATTTGTGTATATGCCACTGCTTCTGTCAAAAGTAAAACAAAAAATTAAATCTGCCCTTGAGATGGTGCTTTAATGCCTTAAGAACGAATTCCTAGATGATGATCATATTCTTTTTGTTCTAATATTTGCTACATTGAATTTCCAGATCTGTATCAAGTGATCATGTAAGAACAAACACTGAATAGCACTTTGTGTACCAGGCAATGTTGTAAGACTGTGCTGTCCAATACAGTAGCCACTAGCCACACGTGGCTCTTTACATTTAATTAAGATAATTAAAATTAAACAAAAAAATAATTTTCCTCACTTGCACTAGTCACATTCAAGGGCTCAGTAGCCACACGTGGTTAATTGATAACTAGACAATGCAGATATAGAACATTTCTATAATTCTATAAAGCCCTATGCTAAGGGCTTTAAGTATTTAACTCATTTAATCCTTATAGCAGTTATGAGGTAGGCATAATACTATCATCTCCAATATACAGTTGTAGAAACTAAGGTACAGAGTGCTTAAAATAGCTTCCTGGTAAGTGGCAAAGCTCAGAATTTGAATTCAAATCAGTTGTCTGATTTCAGAGTTTGCGCTTTTAACCAAAGCAAGAGGCTCTATAATGCCTCTTGAGATAGCAAATGACTTAATTTCTTTCTAAGCCAAGAAAACATGAGCCAATGAAATGAAATCCATGATCAAGTTCCCTAGTACACAGTAAGATGACTAGTATCTGCAGTTGGAAGATAAAGAGAGACCAAATATGTCTAAATATGTAAAACAAAAGAAACTTTTTAGATTTCATTGATTTGGATGTTCTTGAAGTTCCTATTCTTAAGGGATGGCAAATATGTAATCCCATATCATGTCAACAGAGTGCTCGCAATAGCATTGCTAATTGACCTTCATGTTCTCCCATCAAACCTATAGAGTTTCTTGCCAACATAACACCTGAGCCTGTTACTTCCAGACAATTATAGTTGCCTGTAAAGTGAAACCAGTTTACTCTGGTTTCTGACTCTGGTTTCTGACTCTGCTATATCAGAGTGAAGCCAGGTTATGATGTGGTAACAAACAGCCCCCGAATCTCAGTGGTTTAGAACAAGTTTATTCCGTCATTATGCTATATTAACTGTAGATCGTTTGTCCCTGTTCCATGTTATTTTTGTTCTGGGACCAGGCTGAAGGAGAAACAGTCCCTACTTTGAACATGCTTTTCTCATGAGAAAGGGAAAATAAATGGGGAATTACGTGCTGCCTCTTCAAGCCTACTTTCAGAAGAGGCACATTTCCCATTGCATTGGCCAGAGCAAACCCCATGGCTAAGCCCAATGTTAGTGGGGAGGAAAATGGGCCTTGGAGAGATGGACCCAGTAGGCAGGGGCAGTAATTATTTTGAATAAATAACCTACCACATCCACTTAAAAGTATTTATTATCAAATATGTATGTCCTAAGATTCAAATGATGAAATAAATTCTGTAGCTTCATAAGCTCACTGTAAAAGATTTGCTATTGAATCATTTCAAGTGTAATTCTCTTAAACTTTTTATTGTTTACTAAATATGTGGTAACTTAATCCAAGGCCTGTTTCAATTTGCCTCTATCAGGTGCTCGGTCCCAGGCAGCTTCTATTTTAACCAAGTTTCAAGAACTCAAAGATGTTCAACATGAGCTGACAATCAAGGAGAATGAGCTACGGGCGCTAGAAGAGGAATTAGCAGGTCTTAAAAACACTGCTGAAAAGTAAGACTTCTGTAGATGAAGCTGTAGTTTTGAATTTTTTTGTCAAAGATTTGCATGGTAGAAAATTTACTTTTATTTAAAAAAATACAATTTCGGACTTTTTTCATAATGCCTTTGGTTTTATTTGAATAAATTATGAGTTGATAACTTGTTTATCAGTTATTTAATTTTTTTCTGATAAAAATAATGTCTTTGTTATAAGAAATTAGGGAAAGCTAATTAAACAAAAAAATCAGCCAAATATTCCCCTTTCCCTCCTGAGGTATACTGTGTTAAGATTCTGCTGGGATTGATGGGGAAACCCGTAGATACTCTGGAGGTTGATACCAGAGGATACTTGAGTCCTTGATTTGAAATGATGATACAGCATAGCATTGATCAGATGTCTACAGTAAGTTTAGCAGCATTGTGGCTGTCCTCTAGATATTGAAGATCACTGGGTTGCCTGTGGAGGAGGTAAACAAGTTGATGTCAGAAAGTCATGGCTAAAATTATAGTGTTTCCTTACAGTGTGGGTGTAGATTAGTATGTGTGTGTACCTTTCAACATTACTTCTGTTTGTGTATGATACAGCTATATACATATGTACATTTTTATGTTTTCAAACTTGGCATCATACTGTTTAACCTCTTTTTGTCACTTGGCATTAGTCACTATTGAGTGCCTTCTATGTGCCAACTACTCTTCTAGGAGCTTGGGATACAGCAGTGAATCAAACAAATCTCTTCCTTCATCTTGTTGTCATGCGCACAGTTGGGGAGACAGACAATAAAGAAAGTTAAATTGGTAAATATATGTTAGATAATACTGAGTTCTAAGAAGAGAAAAGTAAAACAGGAAAGGAAATATAAACTATCCAGGGCACAGAGGTGTTGAAATTATAGATTGGGTGCCAGGGAAAGCCTCACTGAGAAGATGCCTGTGGAATAAACACCTGAAGGATGAGAGTGAACTCGCCATGTGGTTGTCCAGAAGAGCCCTTACTTGCTTTAAAAGCTTCAGGAGTATAAATGCCACAAGCTTACAAAGTACATTATTTGAAAGTTTAATTGTAATTTTTTCTAGTCCCTCTGAACATGGCAAATGGGAACTGAGATAAAAATAAAATCAAATATTTTATTCAGAATTCACAATACGGAATAAAGGTAAAAAAAATAATCTACAACTTTGAAAAATGATTTTTTAAAAAATTTTTTGTTTATTGCAGTAGCATTGGTTTATAACATTGTATAAATTTCAGGTGTACATCATTATACTTCTATTACTGCATAGATTACATCATGTTCACCACCAAAATACTAATTACAACCCATCACCACACACATGTGCCGAATTATCCCTTTCGCCCTCTTCCTTCACCCCTTCTCCTCTGGTAACCACCAATCCAATCTCTGTCTCTAGTGTTTGTTTGTTGTTGTTATTACCTACTACTTAATGAGTGAGATCATACAGTATTTGACCTTCTCCCTCTGACTTATTTCACTTTGCGTAATACCCTCAATGTCCATCCATGTTGTCACAAATGGCTGGATTTCATCGTTTCTTATACCTGAGTAGTATTCCATTGTGTGTATATACCACATCTTCTTTATCCATTCGTCCCTTGATGGGCACTTAGGTTGCTTCCAAGTCTTGGCTATTGTGAATAACTGAAAAATGATTTTTTTTTGTAAATTTTTAGCATTCATCTTTTGAAATTATCAAAGTTTAGAACAGTACCAAGACTTTTTTGGGACACAACATATGTGGAAGAGATTATCATAATCATAAAAATGCCCAGTTTCAAACATTATATACATGTAAAGCCTGCATTTTACCTTCATTAACATAAATTACCCATAAAGTGAATAAACTTTTTCTGTGAGAAAGATGCAATAAAATTTCTCTGTGATATAGAGCCCTGGCAAGGCAATGAGTTTGTAGTCGCATTTGGCTTAGAACTGTTAACTTTGTTCAGCAGTATTGGGTCATTTATTTTGTAGAATTGTCTTGTGGACTAATTGTGGCACTGAGGTCAAGGAAAGAAAATAGATTAAATTTTGAAAAATGTGAGAGTGGAAGGGTCAACTAAAGCCATTCTTTCATAGACCATATCAGGAAAATAGTTTATATCCTTTTTCAGATTTCTACACTCCACATTTTTAAATGAATTGAAAAATGACTTTAAGATTACAGTTTTAATTGCTGCCAAACACTCTCAGGCAAGAGTACTTAGGGGAGTGTTTACGTTTTATAAGTTGCTTCTTTTTTCCTCAAACCTCATGGACTTCTAGTGACAAGCTACCTTGTGAATTTATTATAACTTGAAATTTCACTGCAGCTGAATTAGCTAAATACCTTCCAAAGAAATAACTTGAAGCAGCCAGAACTGGGGTAGAATTACAGGGTTTGCAAGAAAAGTGCATTGCAAATGTTTATATTCGCTACTGTGCCTTTTAAACTATCAGTTTCATTACAAAATGTAGGGAACATTATTATTTTTTTAACATTTGAAAATGGGGATTAATAGATAACCAAATTTTTGAAATTTCATGTAATTGTTATGTATTATTAATCTATTTGGGTGGTGGAGAGCTGTTGTGGAGTTTTTCTTTTTGGTAAGGATCAGTAGGAGAGATTATTTTTAAGGAAACCTATTCATTCAAGGTATTTTTAGTGTTTTCCAAAACTGAGAGTATTTGCATGTATAGTTATTATTGGTCTTGGTCATTTAGAGTTGTTTACCTTCACTGACCAAATCAGACTTGATTTAATTGATGCCTCAGAAACGTGAGAGTCATCAAAACTATTCTTGTAACCAGTGGCATCTTATATTGTTCATGTTGTGTGTGAATTTATTTTAGGTAAGACCCTGTAGTTTGAATGCATGTCTTAAACATCAGAAAAGTTGTGGTCATATATTATAAACTTCTCTTTTTCTAAGATATCGCAAACTAAAACAGCAGTGGGAGATGAAAACTGAGGAGGCAGATTTATTACAAACCAAGCTCCAGCAAAGCTCATATCACAAGCAACAAGAAGAATTAGATGCTCTTAAAAAAATCATTGGTAAGATAAAAACATTCTGTGCTTAATCTGTTTCTACTGATAACCTTACTTTAGGTATTAGAAAATCTCATCTTTACTATAAATTTATTTGAATTATTTTAAATATTGTTACTTATTACTTATTGTTGTTATTATTATTATTATTATTATATTGCCAAAGTTCTGCCCATTTGTAGCATTATACATTTCCACCAGTGGCATATGAAAGTTCTAATTTCTCCAAATCCTTTCCTTTCCAGACTTTTAAAATTCTCCAATCCGATTATTGTGAAGAGATAGCACATTAGCATGTTAATTTGCATTTCTCTGATTACTGGTGAAGTTGGGATCTCTTGTCTGTTCCTTCAACTTCTTGGTTTCTACTTCTGGGAATTTTCTGTTTATTTCTTTTGCCCATTTTTCTGTTGGGTTGCTCTTGGTTGGTTTCTATTGTTCCTGTACTTAAGAGTTCTGATTTCTTATAGGTTACCTGCATTACAAATATCTTTTGGCTTATATGCTTTGCTTTTAACTTTATGTTTATAATTTTGTTATACGAAGTTTTCTTTTTGTGTGTGTGTGTGTGAGGAAGATCGGTCCTGAGTTAACATGTTGCCAATCCTCCCCTTTTTGCTTGAGGAAGATTGTCCCTGAGCTGACATCTGTGCCAGTCTTCCTCTATTTTGTATACGGGATGCCACCACAGCATGGCTTGATGAGTGGTGTGTAGGTCTGTGCCTGGGATCCGAACCTGCGAGCCCTGGGCCGCCAAAGCAGAGCGCACGAACTTAACCAGGCTGGCCCCAAAAGTTTTTAATGTTTAATGTAAATCAATTTTTAGCTATCTCTGTCTCCAATTTTAAGAACTATCTTACAATTTTAATTAGAATTTAATTGTATATATTAGTTTTAATTTTTCTCAGACTTTAGGCTTTCTCACACCTATTTCCCCTCTAATATTTTTATTCTTTTTTTTTTTCTTTTATGGAATTAAAAATTTGCCTATTTCACTCACCTCCCACCCCTTGCCTCTTGCAGCCACCAATCTGTCCTTTATATGTGAACTTGGAGTTTTTTGTTGTTGTTAAGATTCCACGTATAAGCAAGATCATGCAGTATTTGTCTTTCTTTGTCTGACTTATTTCGCTTAGCATAATGCCCTCAAGGTCCATTCATGTTGTCACAAATGGCAAAATTTCCTTCTTTTTTGTGGCTAAATAATATTCCTGTGTCTGTGTGTGTATATGTATATATATACACACATATTATTTTATATGTATATATATATACCATATTATTTTTTTATTCATTCATCTATCAGTGGACACTTCAGTTGTTTCCATGTCTTTGCTGTTGTAAATAATGCTGCAGTGAACATGGGAGTGCAGATATCTTTTCAAGTTAGTGTGTTTCCTTTGGATAAATACCCAGAAGTGGAATTGCTAGATCATATGATAGTTCTATTTTTAAATTTTTGAGAAACCTCCATACTGTTTCCCATAGTGGCTGCACCAATTTGCATTCCCTCCAACAGTGCACAAGGGGTCCCTTTTTTCCTCATTTCTTGTTTTTTTGATAATAGCCATTCTAACAGGTATAAGATGATATCTCATTGTGATTTTGATTTGTATTTCCCTGGTGATTAGGGATGTTGAACATCTTTTCGTGTAACTGTTGGCCATCTATATTTCTTCTGTGGAAAAATATCTATTCAGATACTGTGCCTATTTTTTAATTATATTGTTTGTTTTTTTTCTCTTGAGTTGTGTGAGTTTTTTATGTATTTTGGATATTAACTCCTTATCAGATATATGATTTGTAAATATCTTCTCCCATTCGGTAGGTTGCCTTTTCATTTTGTTGATGGTTTCCTTTGTGGTGCAGAAGCTTTTTAGTTTGATATAGTCCCACTTGTTTATTTTTGCTTTTGGTGTCAAATCCAAAAAATCATCACCAAGACTCATGTGAAGGAGCTTATGCCTGTTTTCTTCTAGGAGATTTATGGTCTTAGGTCTTACGTTCAAGTCTTGATAATCCATTTTGAGTTGATTTTTGTGTATGGTATAAGATAGTGGTCGAATTTCATTCTTTTGCATATGGCTGTCCAGTTTTCCCAGCACCATTTACTGAAGAGACTGTCCTTTCCACCTTGTATATTTGCTCCTTTGTCATAAGTTAATTGACCATATATGCATGGGTTTTCTTTCTTGGCTCTTTATTCTGTTCCATTGATCTATGTGTCTGTTTTTATACCAAAACCATACTGTTTTGATTATTATAGCTTTGTAATATAGTTTGAAATCAGGGAGCTTGATGCATCTCCATCTGTGTTCTTTCTCAAAATTGCTTTGGCAATTCAGGGTCTTTTGTGGTTCCATACCAATTTTAGGACTGTTTGTTCTATTTCTGTGAAAAATGCCATTGGAATTTTGGTAGGGATTGCATTGAATCTGTTGATTGCTTTAGGTAATGTGGACATTTTAACAATATTGATTCTTCTAATCCATGAGCACAGAATATCTTTCCATTTATTTGTGTCTTCAGTTTCTTTCAACAGGGTCTTATAGTTTTCAGTATACAGGTCTTTCACCTCCTTGGTTAAATTTATTCCTAGGTGTTGTGTCCTTTTTGATGAAATTTTAACTGGGATTGTTTTTAAAAATCTCTTTCTGATAGTTCATTATTAGTGTAACAGATTTTTGTGTATTGATTTTGTATCCTGCAACTTTACTGAATTTGTTTATTAGTTCTAATCATTTTTTGATGGAGTCTTTAGAGTTTTCCATATATATAATATCGGAATATATATATATATATATCATCTGCAAATAGGGACAGTTTACTTCTTCCTCTCTGATTTGGATGCCTTTTATTTCCTTTTCTTGCCTGATTGTGCTGGCTAGGACTTCCAATACTATGTTGAATAAAAGTGGTGAGAGTGGGCAGCCTTGTCTTGTTCCTGATCTTAGAGGACAACCTTTCAGCTTTTCACTGTGTGTGTGTTGTGTGTTGTTTCACTCTTCTATTTCTTGAAAGAGTTTGAGGATTGGTGTTAATTCTTCTTTGAATGTTGGGTAGAATTCACCAGTGAAGCCGTCTGGTCCTGGTCTTTTGTTTGTTGGGAGATTTTTGATTACTGAGTCAATCTCCTTACTAGTAATCAATCTGTTCAAATTTTTCTCTTCTTGTTTCAGTCTTGGTAGGTTGTGTGTTTCTAGTAATTTATCCATTTCTTCTATGTTGTCCAATTTATTAGCATGGAATTGTTCGTAGTAGTTTCTTATGATCCTTTTTATTTCTATGATATCAGTTGTAATGTCTTCTCTTTCATTTCTGATTTTATTTATTTGAATTCTCTCTCTTTTTTTCTTGGTAAGTCTAGCCTAAAGTTTTGTCGATTTCCTTTATCTTTCAGAGAACCAGATCTTTGTGTCATTGATGTTTTCTGTTACCTTTTTAGTCTTTATTTCATTTAGTTCCACTCTGATCTTTGTTACTTTCTTCCTTCTTCTAACTTTGGGCTTTGTTTGTTCTTCTTTTTCTAGTTCCTTGAGGTGTAAAGTTAGGTTGTTTATTTGAGATTTTTCTTGTTTCTTGATGGTAGGCATTTATTGCTGTGAACTTCCCTCTTAGCACTGCTTTTGTTACTTTCCATAAGTTTTGGTATGTTGTATTTCCATTTTCATTTGTTTTAAGATATTTTTTGATTTCTCTTTTGATTTATTGCAGTGATATTCTGCAATGAAAAGTAGTAGAGGAAATTGTGAAGTCATGATTTTCAGGGTTTTATTTGTACCTAAGTCCTAACACTAACAGTTTATGTTAGTGACAGAAACATGCTCATTCTATCTTGGTTTTTAATTTTCTTCTTCATAAATTTAGAGATAATATTTTTCCTATGCTTCATCCTGACATGTTCTCAGGATATTTCTCTACTTTAATGAGATTCCTTAAATAAAAATAAATGAGCAAAGAACACAAAGTAAGCTTATTTATAAAGAAATTGTAAGCTTTCTGGCAACTAAAATAAAGGAAGAATACCTTAGTTATACTCTTGGTGCTGGTTTTAGGAAGCATACAGGTGTATTAAAAAGATAGTCTGTGATCTTTTTAATAAGTTGTTTCAAAACCTTGTTTAAAGTAGACAAGTTGTAGTTAAAGTTTATGTTACTCAGTTTCATATGGTTATCAGGAAATAGTTTGTTTATAGATCTTTAGATAATTCAAGCATGGCTCTTAGGCAGGATCTGTGTTGCAAGATACCATTTCTAGAATAAAATTGGAACAGTTAAATTTTTTAAAACTCTAGCCTCTAACTTTGCAGACTATTCTAGTAAAAGTTGAATTTATAAGCCATTATGTAACTGTTAATAGTTGGAGGACTTCATTTAGCCACATTTGCCTACTTTATGATGCAGAGGAAAGTGAGGAGACCTTAAAAAACAGTGAAGAAATTAAAAAAAAAGCAGAAGAAAAATACGAAGTATTGGAGAATAAAATGAAAAATGCAGAAGCTGAAAGAGAGAAAGAACTGAAGGATGCTCAGAAAAAGCTGGATTGTGCCAAAATGAAAGCAGACGCTTCTAGCAAGAAAATGAAGGAAAAACAACAGGTAATGACCTTTCTTGAAACGGAGCCAATCTTTCAACGTCAATCTCTCAAATGGAACCACCTTCAACGGAAGGTGGTAGAGCATCATTTGTTGGCCTTATTCATCAGTGTTCATCACAAAATCTAAAAGCAAGGTGTGCTTTTTAGAAAGTAAATTAGGCATCTTATTAAATTAGGCATCTTATAAGTTAAATTAAAATATGGTCTTCTCCGAAAACCCTGTAATTGAGTGTCATATCATTGTGAGTAAGACTTGCATTGGCTTGCTAATTTTGGAGAAAGATCAAAAGTTGTCTTTTCGTAAATGCTTCATTCAAGAGTGGACCAAAGCTCATATCATGTAGTGGGGCTCTGTCATATCAGAGATTCAGTGTTGGCACTTCCATTTGGTGATCATGTGTGTGAATGTAGACTATGAAAGAATGATGTAAGACAAAGCATGTTATATTTACAAAGTTCCATTCAGTTGTAGACTGGGGGTATCTGATTATTTCTTTTGGATAGTGCCTGCTAGAATTTGAATGCAGGTTTTTTCAGTCTCCAAAGGCTATGCTCTGAATCACTGTTCTACTTTTCTTCATAGTTGTTTTTTTTTTAACCCACCTTATTATTCTGTCATTAAATAGCTGTACAAAGTATTTTCTACTGAACTAAAAGCTATAATGATAAGGAAGAAAATTGAGAAACTAACTTTTTGACATGGAATAATTGTGTGTTAAAAAAAGGCTTTAGCTCTGCTAATTTGTCTATTATGTAGAATTCTATATTATTTTTCTCTTTAGGAATAAAAGAATAAAGAAAATAGTTTATGCAAAGTTCTTTGAACCCATAAAAGTTGTACATACATTTGTCATCATCTTTTTTTAAGTATAGGAAAATAAATTTCCTTTCCGCTCCCTTCTTCTGGGGAAGCAGCTTACATGTATTTTTGGTAGTTGAGTAACTAAGCTGTGGGTCTTACTTGCATGAGAATCTTACTAATTTTGTTGACCTGTACATATTTATTTTTCAGTAGTTAATAACCTGTTGATTACCCAGATACTGTGTTTCTTATAGGAAGTTGAAGCTATCACTCTGGAGCTAGAAGAGCTCAAGAGAGAGCATGCATCCTATAAACAACAGCTCGAAGCTGTAAATGAAGCTATCAAATCCTATGAAGGTCAGATTGAAGTAATGGCAGCTGAGGTGGCTAAAAATAAGGTAAGATTTACTTACTGTATTGGAGAAATTACAAATGTTAATCTACTTATGAAATGTTGACTTGAAGATGTTTGACTTTAGAGGTCTCGCTCTCTTCACTCTTATCATGATAATGATGGTCACCAATCTAGAAAGAGTCCTGAAATAATATTACTAATTTTTCTAGTCCAGGTCTACTCAAGACAAAAACTGCACAGTAGTTTGAACAGGCAAAGTTTAACTAAAAAAGTATTAACTGTAATAGGAGTTTGGAATGATGTGAAATTGATCACTAAGGGATAAAGAGAACTCTAAAGAATATAGGAACAACAGATACAGGGAATAGCCAATATTACCTGTAGGGCTGAGGCCGTGCACCCGTGGAAGGAACAAATCTGGAAAAGAGCCCTATTCCACCTGTAAGGCTGAGAACCTGATATATATATATAGTTGAAAACATAACTGTGGCCCATTGGTGGTGAAGTTTGCTGGAGTGCCAGGGGAAACCATCCATAGAGAAGTACCACATCGGCAGCACTCGCTGAGGAATATCCTTCTGGGACACCAGGGGAAACTGGACATAGGAAGGTTGCCCAGCCTATGGAGATACTGCAGAGCACCCCCTGCTGTGATGCCAGGGGAAGCCGTGCAAGCTGCTAGCCCCTGCACATGACAGGCTTACCTTTGAGAAAAGCACATCAGGACCAGGAGGTAGAGCCCCTTTCTTCTACAGGTCCCTACAGCATCCTTTACTGTTGAGGCTTAATATTGCAGCTGGTGAGGGAGAAGTGTTCTGATATCAGAAGCAGGGCAGTGAAGGGTGGATTTGGGGCTGAGGGGTTTTCAAATATTATGAAGACTTTCTGTTACCTGCAAATTGATGTTGTGGTATGTCTTTGTTACAGGTTGTCCCTCATGAATATTGGATATTCTGGATATCCTCTTGTCCCTTTCTGTGATTTTGACCTTGAATTCTGTTTATTTCATATTGTTTCTACTCCTGCTTTCTTTTTTGTTTTGATTGAGATACAATTGACATAAAATACTATATTAGTTTCAGGCGTACAACGTAATGATTTGATATTTGTGTATATTCTGAAATGATAACCACAAAAGTCTAGTTAACATCTATCACCATGCATAGTTCAAAATATTTTTTTCTCATGATGAGAACTTTTAAGATCTACTCTTAGCAACTTTCAAATATTCAATACAGTGTTATTAAGTATAGTTACCATGCTGTACAAAATGTACCTACTTTTGTTTGTGATATAACTTTCATTTTTTAAGTTTTCTGTTATGTTGCTATAGATACTGTTTTTGTAAGTAAGTCTATATCATTGATTTTCGTGTTAATTAAATGTATGTAGCTTTTAACAGGGGAGTTCCACTCATTTACCTACATTGTGGTAAAGACTGTTTTTGCCTTGCTTGTGTCATCTCCTGCATTTTCTGTCACGTTTTTCCCTTCAGATGATTGTTTTAATCCTTGTAGCATGCAGTGGTTTGGAAAGTAGGTCTTTCCTCTTTGATTCTATTCATGGTGAAATTTAAGTTTTTTTATTTTTAACACATTGTTTATCAAATAACTTTTTAACTACTCTTTTTTCAAGATAAGGGATCGAAATCCTTCTTACCTTTGTGTTGCTGATTAAATTTTCTACAGTACAGATACTGTAGAAACTACAGTTTCTAGTTTACCTCCAAAGTAAATTGTAGTTTTAAAAAATATTTTTGGTTTCCTTCTGATTTGTTATCTTTTAATCTCATATATTTTTCATCTCGTTCCTCTGTATTTTCTACTGTCTTTCATGGACATCATAATGTAGAATTTTAAAAAATTAGATGTGTTTCTAAAGAGAAATGTGAAAATAAAATAAGTCACTCCTTCTTTGATCTAAATAACGATAAAATCAAAATGTACATATTTCTGTAAAGAGGGTTTCGAGTTCTCTTTATGGAAACTATAACATGGATCACTTAGTTTTTAAAGATTGTTCTTTCAGGCTCTACATTCTAAATTGTTTCCCTTTGCTGATAAGAGTGGCTAAGGACACTCCCAGGGAGCTAAGAAAAGAAACTGCCTACTGACTAATTAGGTTCAGACAAACAAAACAAAAATTTCATTTCTGTGCAATCTTAAGTGACAGATTTCCTATGTTTTTTCCTACCATGTAAAAAAGATTAAAACAGCCACACCTACAATGCAACTTTTAAACTCTAGGCATGAGGGAATCTTTTTCATAAACATATTTTTGTCAGATACAGTGTTAGTAATAAACCTGTGTCTGTTATTTTTCCCTTGGTTAATGTCACCAGAGTATTTTTCACTTTCTTTTCTTGTTCTTCAAAAGTTTTAAAAAGCTAAAATATCTTTGGGTGTTTTAGATGATTGTCATGATTTATCATTCTTCTGGAAAAGACCTCTAATGACACAAACTAAATATTATAAGGAAATTAAAGCTCTTTGAGCATGTTCAATAACCTAACGATAATGTCAAGTATTCTTTATTACTCAAGATTATCTTGTTTTCTAATGAGCATGCCTAAAAAATTCCTAAATTTTTACTGGTACTTTTCATCACTTACAGAGATACATTCTTTCTCAGAGTCTTTTTTAGCAGGTTGTTCTCCTTCTTTGTTTCCCCCCTACCTAAATGTAAGTTGAGCTAGGTCTTTTTGTTTTTAGACATTTGTGTGAGTTTGTGACCATATCTTTAGCAGAAGAACTGTAAAGATCTAGGATGAGGCAAAGGGCTTTGTGGGGGGCAGCGGGGAGGGCGGTAGACTAAACCCCAGCTGTAGTTACCGCTTTGGAGGTTGAGCAGCTTCAACCTTGGGAGGTAGGGGGATAGTAAAAGTCAGAGCAAGAGGTTTTTATTTATGTCACAGATGTTTATCTCTTCAAAAAAGTTTCTGTTCCTCTTCTGTTTCTCTGTTTGGACCCCTGTGCTAGGACCAAACACTGACCTTCCATTGCCGCTGGTCAAGTCCTTATGGCGTACATCTATAGAAGGGAAAAGGAGCAAATCCCAGCCTACCTTACTTCTACCCCTGTTCTTTGCGCCTCCTAATAATTGTCATTTGGAGGTCTGTCAGATTATCTTCTTGTTAACTACCCAGAAATACCACTTTTTGAGAGACCTCACAGGTCAGATTCCAGTAGTCTCTCCTCCCCCTAGTTGATCCCGGCTACACTGTATCCAGTAGAAACTTCGTTGCTTCCAGTGTGAAAACTGCATCCCACCCCCTTTTTCTAGTGGTGATACAAGTTTTCTCCCATGTGCAAATTCATGAGTCGTTTTAATGGGGATATAAAATGTAGAGGGTTAGGTGACCAACTGTGTGGTCACATAGCCATCTTGCCCAGAAGTCTGTTAGATGATCTTTTAGTAGACTAAGAATATCTCCATACTACCTTGCTATATATTGTCTTCTAATTATTTGTTTCAGGATTCAGTAAATAAAGCTCAAGAAGAGGTGACCAAGCAAAAAGAAGTGATAACAGCCCAAGACAATGTAGTTAAAGCTAAATATGCAGAAGCGGCAAAATATAAGGAGCAAAATAATGATTCTCAGCTTAAAATTAAGGAATTAGACCACAACATCAACAAACATAAACGGGAAGCTGAAGATGCTGCTGCGAAGGCACGTTTGCATTGTTCGTTTTTACCCTTAATCGAATTTTTGCTTCTGGGTTGTTGAAATATTCCAGTAAACTGCTTGATGAAGAACTTAGTGCAAATGGCAAAACTACCATGTAACATAATTTTGAGGCTTACTGCTATGTTAAGTGCTTCTCAGCAATGCTCATTTTCACCAGATGGCACAAATATCTTGCTTTTAAATTTAATTTCCAGTGTTTATTCCCATCTGTAAGATGTTTTTACCAAATATTTAGTGGTCTCCCATGGAAATGACTGATTTTTATCCCCAAATGTTCGTAGAACTAGTTATTAATGTACTAATAGTAGTAATATCTATATTCTTTACCTTATTGTAAATTGAATTTAAAGAACTCACAGAAATATATATACAGGCAACTTCTAAAATAAGGACTTAATTAACTTCTGGATGTCCTTATGAGGATCAGTACAGTCAACTTCTTGGCAAAACATCAGATTTCAAATGAGGCTGCAAAAAAGATCTTTTTGAGGTTACCTACAGTTTTTTGGTCTCTTTTAAAAGTTTCTTCCTTTCATGTATCACAGTGCCTTAAGTACTTTAGAGAGAATACATGCTTTTGCAGAAATTCATTGCTTGGTTAAGAGACTGCATCCATGTGGTCTTAATAATTCACCCATCATGTTTTCTTATAGGTGTGTAACAGTTTGGTGCCTTTTAAATCTTTTTTAGCATCATAAAAGTACAGGAGATTTAACTTCATAAAGATCAGAACATATAAAACAGTCTCCCCATCCTCTAAAAGAGACATGAGTGCTTTTTTCAGGTTCATTACTTGGTTTAAAAAACATTTTTTTGTGGCCACATCCTAATATCCTAATATTTTATTAGTATTGATTTCCCATTAGCATAGTAGCCCAGTGTTAGTGGACTCATTGACATATTACCAATGCTAATATTACTGTTAATAGTTTTTTTGGTAATTGAAAGTGCTGGTGTTGGTGATTGCTAGAGGGTTTTATTTACAGCCAAGGTAGTAAAAAGAGGGACTTGCAAGTGGAACTGCTAAAAAGTCAAAGATTATTTGAAATACATAGTTTATCAAATATTTATTTCATACCGATTACCATTATACTGTGCCGGGCACTAAAGATATAAGTATGAGAAACATGTACACAGAATGACTTCATAGAGCTTATAGGTCAGTAGGAAAGACAGCCTAGGAATGGTCATTGTACATTGGAGCCTAGAGGTGAGACCATACCCATGGAATTAATAAGGATAAGCAAATTCACAAGGATTAGATTCCACCAGTCAGAACCAACCTTAAACAATTCTAGTAGAGGAAGGTCTTCCTTAAGCACTGTGATTTAATTTTTTCATCAGTTTTATTATATGAAGAACTATTTTACTTTGCCTTGTCAAAAGAGGGTGGTGGGGTATAGAGTCAACATTTAGGGCTATTTTTTGCCTAGATTATAATTCCGAGAAGATTTACTAGATATCAGTCAGTAGATTAGGCTTCCACAATTTTACCAAATCTATGATGTTAAGTAATCCTATAAGAATTTTAATTTTCACAAGTTTTTTTTTTTTTTTTTTTTTTGGTGAGGAAGATTAGCCCTGAGCTAACATCCGATGCCAATCTTCCTCTTTTTGCTGAGGAAGATTGGCCCTGGGCTAACATCTTTGCCCATCCTACTCTACTTTATGTGGGACACCACCACAGCATGGCTTGACAAGCGGTGCATGAGTGCGCACGTGGGATCCGAACCTCCAAACCCCAGGTCGCGGAAGTGGAATGCGCGCACTTAACCGCTGCGCCACCGGGCCGGCCCCACACAAGTTGCTTTTTGAAACAATAGATTGAATTTGGTAAAATCTGGAGCCTCATCTGACTTATATTTCATTCTAATAGAGATGTTTTACATATTCTTTGTAAAAATTTCTCCGAGTTGGCTCTTATTATAATGCCAAAGTAATAGGAAGATCTTTTTCTATACAATCCCTTATTTCTTGATCCTATCCTCCAGTTAAAAATATTTATACTTACTCAAATGAGTCATTGTGGGGTTTTTCTCTAAAATGTTTGATTTAAAATTAGTAAATATTTAAGAAACTGGTTTTTATATGTAGGTTTGTAAGCAATGATAGATCTTTCTATTGTATGTGGTAGGTATCCAAAATGTTGAAAGATCATGACTGGATTAATGCAGAGAAACACCTCTTTGGGCAACCCAATAGTGCCTATGATTTCAAAACTAACAACCCAAAAGAAGCTGGTCAGAGACTGCAGAAGTTGCAAGAAATGAAGGAGAAACTAGGAAGAAATGTCAACATGAGAGCTATGAATGTACTGACAGAAGCTGAAGAGCGGGTAAGTCGTGTTCCTGTGACTCTGGCCGCTTCAGGACGTGAGTAGCATTGATGGCTCATATGACCCCTGCAGCAATTATTAGAGTCAGCCTTTTGCTCGATGCGCTTGATAACTGTTTTCTTTGTTTTCCCTTTCTCCCTTTTCAGTTCTTTCTTTTCTTATTTCATTCTTTTTGTATCATCAGTTGTTTATGTGTTCTGTAGTAGCTTGAATAACTTTTGCACTGGCTTTGCCCTTTGCCATAAACGTTTTCTCCTCTTTTCTTATTCTTTTTTTTTTTTTGATAATTTTATTTATTTATTTTTTCCCCCAAAGCCCCAGTAGATAGTTGTATGTCATAGCTGCACATCCTTCTAGTTGCTGTATGTGGGACGCGGC